GAGCATTGTCTCTCCCTTCATAGTGCACAGCAATGCCCTAGGAGAGTGACTGACTGGGCTGCTGAGCTAAGCATTCCCATGGTCCTAAGCACTGGCCTAAGTGCCTTGACTAAGCAAAGATAGGGGTCATTCTTGAAGGAAAAAGAAAAGAAAATAGGAAAAATCGTAACAGATGGTGATGTCTCAAAAAAATTGCTGGAAAGGTCTTCATCCTCATGGTTCAGAACCAGAGAGAAGCATGATGGAACCCAGGAATTCTTGAATCCTGTATCCTGACACTCACTGTCCACTAGTTGCTTGAGGGGGTCCAGCTGATTGCTGGAGTTCTTCTTCTTCCTCAGTGCACCTTTTATTTGAGTGACTAGGCCTAGCTTCAGATACAGTTCTGAATGTGGGCTGAAAAGAAGTTCAGACACAGAGGGGAATGTTATAGAGAGGGAGATTAGGTGTGACATTTTGAAGGATATGTTGAATCTGTTAGAAGGAGTGATAGTGTCTAACTACCCAGGCTGTGATTGATTGATATCTGCAGCAGAGTTGTATAATAGCTAATAAGCCTAAAAGCATTCTGATGATAGAAGCTAAAAGCTTGAAGAAGTCATTAGTAAGATCAGGAGTAGATACATCTGATGGTGGCATTTAGTTTTCTTCACTCTCTGTTGGCATAAGGAAAGAGAAGTAGAAGCCTTGAGCTAATTATTAAGTTCAAGTAATATATGACTACAAACACATGATAAACAAGTGCTGCATCAAGTTCATACAGTCACATCTGAGTCCATTAAGTGTGTGTAGCAGTGTTATGCCTCAAGATCAATATAAGTTGACTTGAGATAAAGTAGTAGAATAAAGAATAGCTTGAGGTTAGAGATTTATAATGGTGACTATGCTACTTATATACTATTTGCCTCATAGATAAATATAGTACTACTAATTGTATGTTTTGTGGCTATAGTGCTCATTGTTCTAGAGCATTGTTACTACCTACAAAAGGGGTATTATCCTGTTGTCAGGATGTCACTATATGTCATGAGATGATGGTTGATTATGCTGACTAAGATTGTCCCACAGTCCTAAGTGCTGGTCTAAGCACTCTGACTCAGCATAAATAGAGGTAAAAGGAGAAAAAGACAGAAAAATCATAACACTAGGAGCATCAAGGGAATTCCAAGTGTGATCTCCAATCTCTGGCTCTTGTGAGGCAGTGAAAGTATCAGAGAATGGTTTATTGTCAAAGAAGTTGTCAGGGAGGTTGTGATCCTTGTTGTTCAGGACTGAAGAGAAATCTGGTGGGACCCACAGATTCCTGAAGCCTGCAAGGTGATTATTGCTATTTCTGCTATTAGTTCTTCTGGAGAGATAGGTGTGTCTCATTTCTTTCTGATTATTCCACATACCCAAGCTGCTAGGCTGGATTTCTGATACAGCACAAACCTGGAGCTGGAAAGAGACTTAGGCAGAGAGAGGAATGTTGTAGAAGAGGAGATTAGGTGTGACATTTTATAGAATTTGTTGTACTTGCTAGAAAGCTTGGTAGTGCCTGACTATCTAAGCAGTAACTGATTAGCATCTTTGACAAAGCTGGATGATGGTGAGAAGCCCAAGTAGCATTCTGATGATGAAAGCTAAAAGTTTAAAGAAATCATCAGTAAGGTCAGGGGTTATAGTCTGAGAAGGTGGCATTCAGTTTCCTTCATGCTTATTGTGTGTAAGAAAAGGAAAGCAGAAGCTTCAAGCTAATTGTTAGACCTAAGTTGTATATGATCAAAACATGTGATAAACAGATGCTGTATCATGCTCATACAGTCATGCCTGAGTTCACTATTATGCTTTGTTGACCTGTGTGCTTCAAGACCATTGACAAGAGGCTGAGAGTGAAATAGTATGAATAAACTTTAGCTTGAAGCTGGGGTTGTTTCAGCAAGAGCTAGCCTACTTATATACCATTCTTCCATTGAGATAATTATACTACTGCCTATTGTACTCATTCAAGTCTTTGTGTCCTTTGTCTTTGGGTGTCACTATATCAGAGAACAATGACAGATCAGCTTGTTGTGATGACTAAGCCTCTCCCATGGTCCGAAGCACTGGCCTAGGTGCTCTGACTAAGCATAAATAGGGGTTAATTAAGAAAGGAAATAGAAAAATCATAACAATTATAGACTAGAAGGTTTGGTTATCTCAGTCTCTAATGCATCTGCTTAATGGAAACACCTGGTTGTGCAAAATGCTGAGGTGCACATACACTTGATCTGATACTGGTAAGGGTTTTAGGCCCAAAAAGTGAAAGCTTGTGAATGTTGAAGAAGATCTGTGTATTTCAGAGTCTTTTCTTTCTTATCACATAGATTACTTTTATTTTTCACATCTTTGATCACATCTTGATTACATATATAAATGTACCATAGGACTCTTCCACACCTCATCTGTTTCTGCTCATGCTGTGTTGACTGAGACCTTGCTGTTATCTTTTTTGTCATTAGTGAAGGTATCTACAGATTTGTTAGCCACTCAAGGAGTGATGAATTCATCAATTTACCCAATCTGTGAACCTCTAAAGCCGCATTATTGTAAATAGGGTGAAACTGTTAAGGGGCCTGGTCGGCCTTTTCTGAGCAGTTACTGACCAGCGCCATGCACATGGCAATTTCATGATCGCGGGCCCAAAGCGGCAATCACCGCTTCTAACTTTTTTTATCTTGTTCGTAGCTTCATCTCAGTAGGGCGAACTCAATATTTGCACAGAAGAGGGTATTGCTCTTAACAGTGAGGTGCGATGCAGTCGGCCCCAGTTCTTGACAGCTTACCTGCATTTTGTTGTCCTGGTTAAAACTCTATCTGAGTCCATAGTCTAATTATTCTCCCTTGCATTTTGACCGGGGCGGACTGGTCAGCTGCCAAGAGGGGGCAGATGGAGTCTGCCCCCGAAATGTCACTAATTTTCCTACCCCACGACTTAATGAACTCTCACCGGTCACCGGTCCCCCGCGGTGCCAATCAAAAGGTTTTGGGGGATGTTCTGTTCTAAATAAATCTTGCCCTCTTGCAACAAATAAATTCGAAAGCCATATACAGTATTTTCGTGCAATGAAAAATAAGTTGCAGAAAATTCAAAGCATCGTTTTGTCGCAAAGAGAGAGCTTTCTTAAGTCAAGCGTGTTGACAAATAAGTTGCCGTGACCGCGCAGGTTCGGTGGCTGTGTCGGGACCCTTCACTTTCGTGATGTCGTGTCCTTCCTTTTCTTCTACCATCTCTGTTCACGGCCGTCCAGGATATGGGTCTCTGCAGAGATTCTGGTCCTTTGGCCCTACAGGACGCATGCATTCGAGGCTCCTGGTCAGTACTGATACCGACAACGCTCGTCATCACGTTCTGCATATTCTCTATTCCAATAAAGGTGCCAGCAAAAATCCAGACGTTTATCAACGACATCCAGGCGCCATTGCAGACGTTTTTACCTCTTCATGAGGCAGAAGCACTCGACCTAGACGACAAGGGGCCGGGGGGGGAGATTGAGGTCGACTATGTTGTCCCTCTATGGCGTACTGTCGTTTTCGCGTTGTTGGGCCTTGTGGAGGCGTTATCATGGTTGGGAGACGGTTCTTATCGTCTTGCTATGAATCCCCAAGATCCTTGGTCAGGAATTCAGCCACTTTTGATGGCGCTGACGTGGCTCTACACGGTCGTGGTGCCGGTTGCACGTCCTTCTCCCACTCCCCCTTTCGACTTGTTCACGCTGTACCTCGTACACTTCCTCAGCGGAATTATCCTGTTGGGTGGTTCTCTATACGAAACCTCAGTCTACGACCTCCCTTTACCACCGGCGACTCTCATTTCGGCTTACTCGATCAACTTGGTAATCGTTTTGTTGGTGCTTGGGGTCGTCGTCAGCATGCCTCTTGACTTGCCAAGCAGACAAGTTGACAAAAAGTCTATTGTACGCCTATCCTATTGGTTCATTTATAACTGGGACAATCCACTGATGTCACTCAAAGGGAACCACTGTCAGTCCAGAGGACTATACGACGCTCTTTGGATGGCTTACCTTCTCTTGGGTCTATCCACTGGTTAACAATGTAGGTTTTTTCAAATCTGGATTCAACTTTCGACTCATGAGTTTGTAGGGCAGATACAACACTTTGAATGACGCCGACGTCTGGAACCTTAGCCCTTCATTTCAATCTCGTCCCCTATTTATCAAGTTCAGCAGTGTCACGTACGTCTTTATTCGTGTATAACTTTATGTATCTCATTTGTGCCCAGTCGCTCCTCCCTTCTTCGCAAGATCTGGGCATCTAACTCATTAGACATCATACTCGATGCCTTTTTCACAATCCTCAGCGTGATCTTCAATTATACGACGCCGTTCTTCCTCAAGTACGTGCCAAAGTTTCCTTCCCGTCATTATCTTGAAAATTTTTGTAGTCGAATTCTAGCTTCCATTGATAGCGACGCTGCACCGGAAGATCGCACAAATGCGTACATTTACGCGTTTTTGATGTTCATAATATCTGTCGCCAGGGCCGAATTAGATTTGCAGCATCTGTGGTTCGGGCGACGAGCAGCAACAAGGATTAGATCTGAGCTTATGGCAGCAATCTATGACAAGGCGTTAAAGCGAAAAGACTTCTCGGGTATTATTGACGCGGATAAAGGCATATCTGCCAACGACAAGAAGGACGCTGCTACTGCGAATGGAACAGGTAGCTTTGTCATTGTCTCTTGCTCGCTCAATCGTAACGCTCTCCTTTCCAGGCAAGAAGAAGGCCAAGGCCAAGGAAGATGATAAAGGTGATGATCCTAAAGCCGGTGCCGATGTCGGTAAAATTGTCAACTTGATGGCTGGCGATGCTAATAAGGTTAGTTTGGGAGGGTTTTGTTTCATACACTTCCTAATATTCGGCCTAGATCTCGAACATGGTCACTGGGGCGTACTATATCTATGGAGGTATATATCTATAAACTGCCAGGTTTCAAAGCGCACTATTCACTAACACTATAGCTCCCCTTGAAATCATTATTGGCGGAATCTTCCTATACCAGTCAGTTTCATCATCCATACTTATGGCGGCGGCTTACCTCTATATTCCAGGCTGCTTGGATGGTCTGCTTTTGCTGGCTTTGTTGTTCTGCTCGCCGGTTGGCCTCTGAACAGCTACCTCTCCAAGAGAAGCGTCCGTATCCAAAAGGGGTACATGGCTGAAAAAGATAAGCGGATGGGCGTCCTCAGTGAACTCATTGGAGCCGTGAGTTTACTCGGCTCCGTCCCCATGTTTTAAGGCTAACTGGCCGACATTCAGGTCAAATTCATCAAGTTTTTCGCTTGGGAGGACCGATGGATTGACCGCGCCATGGAGGCCAGGGGCAAGGAGCTGAAATGGCTGATTAAAAGTAGGTCGCTGTCAACAAGATTGGCCCAGGACTGACTTAGCGGCATTGATAGGCAGAGTCAACTGGATAATGTTCCACGTCTTGTGGACCACGGCTCCCATTTTGGTATCCATCATTGCCTTCTTTGCGTATATCGTTCAGGGCAATGAACTGACCATAAGCACCGCCTTTACGGTACGCATTTGCCCTTCGTCTCCATTTTTGCTCCATGTTTGACGCGTCACTCAGGCTATCTCTCTGTTCGCCATGATTCGGTTTGTATTTATTCTCAACACTTCAATGCTCATCGTTGATAATGGTTATTCAGGGGACCGCTCAATATCATACCGATGTGGATTGTTCAGGTTCTCCAGGTAAATGCACATTGGACTTGGTGTAACGTCTCGCTAAGATCATCTTCAGACTGGCGTTGCCCTCAAACGAATTGAAGTTTACCTCCAGGAGGAGGAGGTGACGGATCAGGTCTCATCGCTGAAGAAAGATCTTTCAGAACCTCTCCTTCTTGGACCTGATGAAGATGGCCTGGGGCTTGAAAACGCTTCGTTAAAGTGGAACGAAGTTGAGAAACCCAAAGAAGATGAGCCTGGCAACCATAACAAACTGTCGGCCGCATCTTCTACAGAATCCGCCGAGAGCCTAGCCGAGACTATTGAGGGCGAACCTGTGGATCATAAGTTTGAGCTTCGTGATATTTCAGTATTGTTCCCCGAGGGCGAACTTAGCATTATTACAGGCCCTACTGCCAGGCAAGTGTTTGCATTTTCTGTCGTCGTCGTTTTCTTATCATTTCTTCTGTTGCAGTGGCAAGACCGCTTTGCTTGTAAGTTATCATTGTCAGTTAATATCGACCATCACCTGGTTGAATATGACATGCAGATAGCTGTCCTCGGTGAAATGACACTCCTCGATGGCCGTATCATCATGGCAAAAGATAGATCTAGAATTGATGAACACGGAAATATGCACGCGATCTCTTATGCTGCCCAAGCGCCTTGGCTACGGCATCAGTCTATCAAGGATAATATCCTATTCGGTTATCAGCTCGATGAAGAACGGTACGAAGCGGTAATAGAGTGCTGCGCTTTGAAACCCGACTTGGCAATGCTTGAAGACGGTGATGCTACGGAAATTGGTGCTCGTGGTGTTAGTCTAAGTGGAGGACAGAAGGCTCGGTAAGGGCTTTTAAAGACTTTAGTGATGTGTATACTGAAAAGATTCACTCTATAGCGTTGCTCTTGCTCGTGCTGTTTATGCCCGCACCAGATATGTTCTTCTCGATGATCCTTTAAGCGCTGTGGTATGTTTGTTTTAGCAGAAGGGAACGAATGAGCTGAGAATTGTCAAACAGGATAGTCATACCGCAAGGTTCTTATATGAGCGTCTCCTTCTTGGACCCCTTTTGGCCAACAGAACAGTTGTAAGTCCCTCGCATTAATAAGCGACTTCTAGGATTACTCAATGAACACACTTACAGGTCCTTGTTACCCATCACGTTGAGCTAGTTCTTCCGGGAGCTTATTACTTGGTTCGCATGCTTGATGGGCGTATAGATGCAAAGGGCACTGTCAAGGACCTCCGTGCGCAAGGACTGTTGGACGAGATAACACATGACGCGGCGCTTGAGGCTCACGAGGAGCAAATACAGACCGAACATTCCACGGAAGTCACCGTGGAGGCCATCACTGACAAATCTACTGGTGTCGAGGCAAAGAGACCTCGGAAACTCATAAAAGATGAACATCGCGAAACTGGCGGTGTCAAGTGGAGCATCTACAGAAGCTACCTAAAGGCGTCGTATGTGTGGTTCTTTTGGAAATCGAGAATGTTCTAACGCTCTCTTTGAAAAGTTCATATTGGATTTGGGGCCTGCTTCTGTTTTTCGTGGCCGTTAACCAACTCCTGGGTATCTCTGAGAAACTCTGGATTAAGGTACGTTGTTCCATCGGAGGACTCACAGCATGCACACTCATTTTATCTTTTCCAGACATGGGGAGAAGCGTATGGCGATGTCCAGACATCGATATTTTATAACAGCAGAGCTTTCTCTGCCCCGGAACATGAAATTATTTTCGACGGTCATATTCAGTCCCACATTCATAACTTCCATAATGCACCTCCATCGATAAGCTTCACTGGTCCCCACCTTCCTGATGCTCGGGAACACCCATTGTTCTATGTTGGTGTTTACGCCGCGATTGGAGTTGGAGCAGCCCTTGTAAGCGTGATGTCAACAACAGCTCAGTTTACGGGAGCTCTCAGAGCATCACGTATCCTCTTCCAGTGCGGCTTAATTTCGCTTTTGTATTGGTCAGAACATACTGAGCTTCTCCACAGGCAACTTCTTGTCACCGTCGTTCGAGCTACATTTAGATTCCATGATACCACCCCCCAAGGGCGTATGCTCAATCGTTTCGGCAAGGATATCGAGGTCATCGATTCTTCATTGGCTGGATCTATGCAAGCTGTGAACTCGTCACTTGCCAGCTTCTTTGCGTCAATTCTGACTGTGGCGTACGTTCTTCATCCTTCTGATGGTTGACGGCGTAGTTAATGAATGAACAGAGTCATCTTTCCTGTATTCCTGATCCCTGCCACGCTCATCGGCTTTATCTATCGAGAGCTCGCCATTGGTTACTTGAATACTGGCCGAGACCTTCGCCGCATGCAGTCGAACACTCGCTCGCCCATCTTTTCCGACTTTGGAGAGTTGCTGGAAGGCATTGTCACTGTCCGCGCGTTCTCAGCTGAAAAGAGGTTCTTGGACAACCTCCACAAAAAGATAGACACCACCACAAAGGTATTGTCCTCCATTTTATCAAAGAATGGGTGCCTATCGTCATTTAGATGTGGTACGGCTTCTGGATGACGAACCGGTGGCTCTTGTTGAACTTTGATGCCCTGGGTAAGTTTTTCTCGACATAAGGCCTTCTGATGTCTGATCATTCAACAGGTGCTACTGTCCGTCCCTCTTGAATCTTCGTGCCATTTGTTGTTGACTGAATTCAAGGCCGTCTTTGTTACCGCTCTATTCTCGATATCGAGCCTCAATAACGGAGCGGGCCTCGCCGGTCTTTGTATTACAAGTGCTCTCAGCTTCACTTCATCGGTGTACTGGGCATGCCGGTTTTGGACCGGTATGTTCGCATGAATCGTCAGCTTGTATATAGTCTAATTATATGTCATAGGTCTTGAACTGGATCTCAAGTAAGCTCAGATGCCTTTGAAAAGCCGTGCCCTTGGCTAACCATTAACTTTAGCTCGGTGGAAAGGGTCGTCGAGTATCTGGAGCTGCCCCAAGAACCGCCGGCTGTCATTGAATCTCATCGACCACCTGCGTATTGGCCATCAAGTTCAGAAAATGACAGTCTGATTGCGGTTGAGAACCTGGTCGTCAAGTACTCTCCTGAGCTACCTGCGGTTCTGCAGGACATATCCTTCACTTTGAAAGCAGGGGAAAGGATCGGTCTTCTTGGCCGGACAGGGTCAGGAAAGTCGACCCTGGCGATGAGTATCTTGCGCTTTGTAGATCCGACGGAAGGGCGTATTCTCATTGATGGGATCGATACATCGACGATTGGTATCCACGACCTTCGGTCGCGACTAGTAAGTCCTCTCCCGGTCCCAAGGCACCATCTGACGTCCTGGAAGACATTTATCCCGCAAGACGCCACCCTCTTCTCTGGCACTCTTAGAGATAACCTGGATCCCTTTGGTATGGTCTCCTCAATATTCTCCTCTTCTACGTTTCTGAGCATATTCCAGGTGATCACAATGATGCCGAATGCATGGAGGCTCTGTACCGTGTACAGATGATCTCACAAAGCCAATTTGCTTCGCGCCGCACGTCTCGTGCGCCTTCGGAGTTGTCAACGCCTGCAGCTTCTCGACCAGCGTCCGTCCACGATGACACCACAGACTCGGTATCAGCCACATCTACCGATGTCGATGCGAAGACCACTGTATCTTTGGACACAAAGGTTTCCCCTGGAGGTACCAACTTTTCCCAGGGACAACGGCAGCTGATCGCCATGGCAAGAGCGTTACTCCGACGAAGCTCAATCATTGTTCTCGACGAAGCCACCAGCAGCATCGACTTTGCTACAGATGCGAAGATCCAGACGACGATTCGGGAGGAGTTTACGCAATCGCTGCTACTGACGGGTAAGAGTAAAACAACGTTTGGGGTTTATTCGCCTTCTGACCGTTTTACAGTTGCTCATCGGCTTCGAACGGTGATTGATTACGACCGTCTTATCATCCTTGACAAGGGGAAGATTGCTGAATTCGATACGCCGCTTCGGCTGATAGAGATGGAAGATGGTATATTCAGGAATATGTGCTTGAAGTCTGGAAGTTTCGGCGAGCTGCAGGCGTCGGCAAAAGCGAAAGCGGAGCGCGATGAGGCGACTGGAAGGGGAATGTGAATATCTGTAAAAATTTACAGACGGACGGGGCGGCCTTGTAATATAATCTGCCGACAGATCTGTAGTATCAACTGCGATTCTTGTTATTGTCAGAATGCAAATTTGGTCTTGTAGTGTACATTGGATGAGCACAATCAGCATGAAGAAATGAATTCACCTCCCAATGTCTTGTGTTTTCCCTCACATTCTGGCTGCCCTGAAGTTCTCGTCTTTTTGGTCAAGGGCCAGCAACAGCTTCATTTTACCAATACCAATGCTGGTTTTTTTTTTCCCAAAAGTTCGTTATTCAAGCTCTCCCAATTGCCTTTTTACTTTCCTCCCTGCTTTGGGGCCACGTTCAGAAAATCTCACAAAAAAAACCTTTGGTGTGCTCATCATGTCCAATTCTGTGACTTCGAAGTTTTCGAGATCATGAATAATACAAATAAATGAATAATATTCTGGAAGATTCTTCGTAAAATAATAAAATAATAATATTGTGCTTTGTGTAAGTAGTAAATTCTGATGGTTACGTAATCTCGTACTGCTCTTCTTTCACGACCACGAATGGAGTCGCTGGACCTCAATACTCTTGCTGGTTCCTTACCAACGGCGCACCAGAATGCAGAGGCAGAGCTATTGAATAGTTTTAAAGGTACTCGATATTTCTTCGGAAGCCAGATACAAATTCTGACAAAGTTTTAGCGGCTGCTCTCAGCATCACGACTCTTTACCGTTCCTCAAGAGACGCCTCAAAACGAGCGTACAGTGCGGGATATGCTGCTGCATGTCAGGATCTCTTGGCTATGATACAGCGAGGAGTCTCAGTTGGTGGCATAGAGCCAGGGATGTCGGCGGAATCAAATGGCATGTCTATCGGCCGCGTCATGGATTGGATAGACGCTCGACTGGACGCGGTGAAATCGCGACAGGAAGAGGAAGTAGAGGAGGAGGAGAAGGAGAAGGAACGTGGACGGAAGTCGGTCGCTACGGCCCCCCCAAGTGAAGCGAAAGTCAAAGCGGAACCTAAGGAGCAAGTATGCCACCTGGATATCTGGATTTTTCCTATTTCTCATTATTACGTGTTTAGATTCCACCAATGCCGACATCAAATTCACCTTGGCCTCGCGTTCAACGACCTTCACCTCAGCCGTCAACTCCGTCTCCTCCGCCACCACCACCTAGCACTCTGCGACAGACCCAGCGTTCGACGCACAGAGCGAAACCTACTTCGTCTTTTAAAGGAGGAGGAGATTCACCGACTATCTCTCCACCACTTCGCGCATCAGATTACCCTTTCAATCTTGTTTCCGACGATACTCTATCCGTTCCATCGTTCCCCGTTCCTGATGTCGTCGCAGGCGCCAAGCGGCGACATGCAGTAATGATGATGCTTGACAGTTCATCGTCTCCCGTTTCGACCGCCTCGACGACACCATCATCAAATCACGGGTCAGGTTCAGGGGGGAACCGGCGGCGCACCAGGAGCACACGGAGCACTGCCAGCCATCTACAGAATCAGAATGTTAATTCGATTCAGCTGTCTTCAGAAGCAATGGATATTGAAGATGACAATGGTCGGGAACGGAAGCGAGTTGCGCGTAGGTAGGACCTCTTCCTCCTGCCTTGCTATAGAGGCAGAAACGCGTTCTTCTTATATATTGTCCCTCTTCCTCACGGTTCTTCCTTTTCATACCGGTTTCTATTGACGTCTCACTTCTTTTTACCATATTACTGACATCTTACGCTTTCATCACCTTCCATACATTCACTGGTAGCACATCCTTCCAGCATCGCGCCACCCCTCGTTCATTACACGTTCCCTATCTCTGTACCATCAGTCATATAACTAACGAGACATGTGTTTATCTTTATACGTAGAAATCAGAGAATTCATGCAACAAGGCCTGAGGCACCCAAATACCTTTCAAGCTGGACAGTAATGTATTACTAGATGGTGTTTCCATAGTTTAGATGCCTCGAAATAAGTTCTCCTCCATTTGCATTGATTTATGTAATTACCGACTTGCGAGGAAATTCGTACACTTCGCATTGGTGGCCATCCACCGCTTGCCTGCTGTCCTCCTATATCAGTTATATCGGTGCTACATACTGCACCACGATGCCGACACATGTCCACAATTGAATCAATTGCCCTTAACGCATGGAGCTACATTCGGTCCGAGGTATTGTTGCGTGTGTGAAGAAGCCTGTCGGAGCGGTGTGAAGCCATCCTTATACGTGAAGCTCTCGTTTCTCGAGACGAACTAAAATATTACGTTTTATGTATTGCTGAATATCATGCGGGGTCCTGCATGTGACAAGTCCACTGTCCACATTCCTCTGCTGCTCGCTCAAGGAGTGGGATGTAACTGGCTATAATGAGGGCCTTAGAGACTGCCCTCAATTTGATTGCAATGCATGAATGGCTATCATGGCTTTTGAAAGGTGAGTGGTGGGGATGGTGGTGGTTCAAAAAGTATGAGTGGGTTGCAGGAGAGGTGGTTAGAGTATGGGGTGATGGGTGCATAAAGATGCCAATTGTAGCTGTGCTCATAGGGTGGAATGTTCTCAAATGTAAATGGTCCAAGTTTTTGAAGACCAATGTCCAAGAGCTTGTATGATAGATTCTGAGAGTCTGAGAGATGTGTAAAACATTGATCCTCCAGCCCTAGCAGAGTGACTGCTGAAATCTCTGCTCAATATTGCAAAGAATTTTTTGTCAAACCAATTTTGTGATAAAATATCACAATTTTCACAGAGGAAGAGTGGAGCATATGGGCCATGAAGATGATCTCAGCATCTGATATATTGTGATAGGAGCTGAACAGGGTCTGCAAGCTTCTGTCATGTGAGTAGAATGTTAGTGCCATGGTAGAATGGGTCAGATTTGTTGTAGGAAAGGTGGTATTGCATATTGTTCTTTTGGAGGATGAATGAAGGACATTTGATTATTTTGCAGAAGTCCTAAAGTTGTTTATCTTTTTTCCACATGAGCTCACCTGACCAATAGCACCTATAAAAGCAGCAAAAAAGGATGGTGGCAAAGAGGAGGTCATCATAAGAATCTGAGATGTTAGCAAGAAGACAAAAAGTCATCAAATGGGGTAGTTGGAGGGGTAGTTTTTGAAATTGTTGTGAGACAACACAAGTACCTGATGTCAATCTTATATAAGCATAGACAGTTTTGTCCTGAGTTGATGGTCAATTGCCTTTAAGCAATTGACCATCATACTCAGCCTGGCCATTATTCACTGTGCAAAAACAACCTGCCTGCAACAGGTTATGGGCCCCATGTTTTAAGGCCTATTTCAAGTTTTTTCATCTTTGCATCACATCTTGCTTGTGCCCTGCTATCTCTCCATCAGTCACTTCACTACTGCAACAATATCACCACATACATCATGCCATCCTTTGACACAATCAAAAAAGGCTTTGACAACTTAAATGTCTCCAATTATGGCAAGTGGGAAGAAAACATGTTGGCCCTATTCAAAACTCACTATGAGTATCTTATCACCATTGGCTGTGACTCTGAACCAGAGTTTGCAGACCCCAAGAAGCTAACATACCAGGAGAAGAAGAACTGGAAGAACTGGAAGGAGACTCAGGTATTGGCTGCTGGCACAATCTACCTCTGCCTTGATGATCCAGAGAGGATGTAGGACATATTAAAGGCACACCATCAGCAAAGAAAACTGGCAACTCAATTTGTAGCTTACAACAGCTTCTTCAATCTCAAGAAGGAGACAGATGAGTCACTTCCAGATTGTTGTAAGTAGAGAGCAGAGTAATGTAACAGAGAACTAGAATTAGCCTCTTAAGAGAGAAATGTTCTACTTAAATACATTTTGTATTACTTCGAGATCTTTCTATGAGATACTAAATGTTAAGCCCAAATTTCATGTGACTAGTGACACATGATAAACTGACAGAACCTCGCACTTCGGGTTATACTGTCAGAGTTCACTTAATGTGTGACCAGTGTTGTGTTGTCAAGGTGTTTGCAAGTAGCTCGAGATAAGATGGTGAAGAATAAACTTTAGCTTAACACTGAGCTACCACAGTGAAAGCTGTCTACTTAAATACTGTTCTGTATCGTGCTATAAATAAATGTTCATAAAAGTTATTGTCTGTCGTGAGGCTGTTATCCCTGCTGTTGCCAAGTGCTCCACAAAAGCTGTTGTGCTGTTACTGCTGCACTGCAATTTGTTGACAAAAGGAGTATTGTCTCTCCCTTCACAGCACACAGCAGCGTGTGCTAGTGAAAGCTGATTGGGTTGCTGATTAAGCTTCCCACAGTCCTAAGCGCTGGCCTAGGTGCCCTGACTAAGCAAGGATAGGGGTCATTCTGGGCAAAAGAGAATAAAAATGAAAAGAAAATGGAAAAATCATAACATTACCCCCTCCTTAAGACTATCGTCCTGATGGTTTTGTATGGTAAACCATCCAGATGAGAAGGAAGGTTGGTTGTTGTATATCTGGCTAGATATACGTCGTTCTCTGTTTTTGCAGATGGCCGATCTGCTGGACCCATCGCAGGCTTCAAATGAGTTGAAGGCATTGTACATTGCTCTTCGCTGTATGTCCCAACCACTTGTGGCTTGTCTGTTGAAGAGTCATCTTCATCATCCTCTCAAACATGTCTTCTGCTGACTGCAGGTCGATGTATTTTCTCAGGGATAATATTGAACATGACCCCCCTGTTGTCGATCCTATTGATTCATTGTTCATAGTCATGAATTGCTTCTTCGGCGTCCATGTATTTTTCATTGACCCATTGGTTTGACTCTGGTCCATAGCCCTTCCAGCTGACTAGGTAGTCAATGGTTGTTTTCATGCCTCTGCCTCATGCTTTGACCTTTTGGAGTTTGTGGTTTAGTACTTCATTGATTTTGTAGTGTTCTTCGTCATCGATTAAAACTGCTAGTGGCAGAGGCAGTCGTTCTTGATTTGGAAAGGCTGGTGCGATGTATGGTGTCAATAATGTTTCGTTGAAGACATTATGAACCTTCCAAGTCATTGGAATTTGCAACTTATATGCAGAGTTGTCAACTTTGGCAATAACATTGAATGGTCCTGTTTGTTTGTCGGCCAGTTTTTGTTTTGGCCAAGGCAAATGGAGATTCATTGTATTCAGCCAAACTTTGTCATTGGTTGAATATTGATGCGCTGGCTGTCAGTGTTTGTCATATTGTTTTTTCATAGTGACAGCAGCCTTTTTGAGAGCTGTCTTCGTTTCATTGTGGATTTTTGCCATTGTAGTTGCAAAATCTGATGAGGCTGACATTGTTGTGTGAACTCGTTCGGTTTGCACAACTGGTGGGTTCCTTCCGTAGTTCACAAAGAATGGTGTTTTTCCCATTGTGGAGTGAATCCTGTTGTTGTGTTGGAATGCTGCCAATGCTAGCTATTCCATCCAGTCATCTTGTTGGTAACTGATAAAAAGTCGCAAGTACTTTTCAATTTCTTGGTTGGCCCATTCTGTTTGGCCGTCTGTCTGTGGATGATATGCCATTGAGGCATTTCTCTTGATGTTGAGGAGTCGGTACAGGTCGTCCAAGAACTTGGAGACAAACTGTGGTCCTCTGTCTGAAATTACTACCTGAGGCATGCCATACTTTGCATAAACCTCGTCTCATAGTATTTTTGCCCATCCCTCGAATGTCAATTCTGTTGAACAGGTGATCAGGATGATTGCCTTCGAGAAGTGATTGACTATGACGATGATTGCATCATAGCCATCACTTTCAGGGAGTCCAGTTATCATATCCACTGAGATGTGGATCCATGGTGACGAAGGGATCTCATTTGGATGAAGTGATGCTGCTTGTGGTTGGGTCGAGGACTTGCCTCTTTGACAAGTTTCACAAGCTTTGACATATCGGGTGATATCATGGTCCATTTTTGGCCACCAATACTCCCTCAAGACTAATTCTTTTGTTTTTGCAATCCCAGGATGACCGGCAGTTGCATGATCATGGTGGTTCGCAATGATGTCACCATGAAGTTTCTGGTCTCTGGGAATATAGATCCTCCCATCATAGCAGATTAAGTCCCCTTCTTTCTTTAGTCCTCGCTCGTGATTGAGTGAGGGGGCGATTCTTTGATCCCACTGATGTGGATCCCTAGTGGCACTCTTGATGTGTTCATGCATCAATTCTTCCATCAGCATGATCATGGCATGGAAGTGTTCTGGTCAGAGTAGGACGACTTCCTTATTGTCATTCCCTCCCTGGTCATGGTTGGCCCTTCGGCTGAGTAGGTCAGCCTTCTCATTTGCTGCTCTGGGTTTATGGTGCAATGTATAATCATATTGTGATAATTCTGTGACCCATCTGGCCTGTCTGCGATTGAGTTTCTGTGGATGTCGGAAGTATCACAGATTTTGATGGTCTGTCCAGATTTCAAAGATTTGGGTTGCTCTGATGAGGTAATGCCGCCATTTGGCAAGAGCAAGCATTATTGCGAGAAGTTCCTTGTCGTAGATTTCATAGTTTCGTTCTGTAACTGTGAGTGCCTTTGACATGAACACGACTGGTCACCATTTGCCCTCTTGCTCCTGTGACAGTACAGCTCCAATAGCACCTTCACTGGAGTCAGCTTCCACTTTGAACTTTCCATCCTGAGTTGGGATGGCCAAGGTAATATCTGTGGTCAGTCGTCGTTTCAGGTCATCGAATGCCGTCCGTTGGGAAATTCCCCAAATCCATGGGGAATTTCTGGTTAATTGTGTCATAGGTTGGACTATTTTGCTGTAGTCTCGAATAAATCATTGATAGAAGTTTGTAAATCCAAGGAATGATTGCAACTCCTTCTTTTTTGTTGGCTCCGGCCATTTGGTTACCCCAGCTGTTTTGATGGGGTCCATCTGAATGCTTCCTTCACTGATAATGACTCCAAGGTATTCAGTCTCCAATACCTCGAATTCACATTTCTCAGCTTTGAGGAAGAGTTTATGCTTCCTCATTAAAGCTAGTACCTGTCGTACTAGCTGTCGGTGTTCTTCTTTGGTTTTTGACATGATGAGAATATCATCCAAATAAATTGTGACCTTTCCAGTGGCAATAAGGTCTCTAAAGATGTTGTTCATCATCCATTGAAATGTTGCCGGTGAATTGGTGAGTCCAAAGAACATTACCGTTGGTTCGAACAAACCGTGGTTCGTTCAAAAAGTGGCCTTCCATTTGTCCCCTTCTTTGATGCACATGTTATTGTATCCCCACCGTACGTCTAATTTAGTGTAGTATTTGGTGCCTTGGAGCTTATCCATTAGCTCCGAGATTAAGGGGAGTGGGTAACAGTTTTTGATCATCATCTCGTTAAGCCTCTGATAGTCTTGTACTGGTCGGAGCTTGCCATCCTTCTTTTTAACAAAAAAGAAGGGGGATGCCATTGGTGATTTTGATGGTCGGATCCTTCTGCTAGACAAATTTTCTTCGAGAAATTTGTCTAGTTCTTGTTGTTCATTGTTGCCTAGTGAGTATGTTTTGCAATCCAGGTTGGCATTAGAGTTGGGGATTAATTCGATGGCATGATCCCAGGGTTTGGGCTCGAGTAGTTCATCAAAACTGTCTTTTTCGAATAAATCCTAAAAATCCTGTGCCCATTTGGGTACCATTTCTTCGAACATCCTTTCCTCCTTTCCTGCATTAGCTTTGGCTGCTAGGTCATTTGCATGGTGCATGGCACGAATGCTAATAGCCCTTTGTAAGTCAACAGCGAGTATT